TGCACCATGTCTGGAACTAACGGGACACTGAACAGCTTCTACCCTCAAGCCATGAGACTTCTAAACAAGACTGCTAAATAGCTCATCAAATGGCTACCCGGACTACCTGCAATTACCCTTTTTTGCACTAACTCTCTTGCACGAAACTCTATGCACACACACTGGACTCTACCCACACACTCACACATACTCACACTGACAACCCAACACACACACACACACACACACGTTACTGCTAGTCACTTTTTACCCCTACCTATATGTACAGTACATGGCTACCTCAATTACCTCTTACTTCTGCACATTGACTCGGTACTGGTACTTCCTGTACATACAGTGGCTTGCGAAAGTATTCACCCCCCTTGGCATTTTTCCTATTTTGTTGCCTTACAACCTGGATTTAAAATGGATTTTTGGGGGGTTTGTATCATTTGATGTACACAACATGCCTACCACTTTGAAGATGCAAAATATTATATAATAAAATATAATATAAGACAAAAAAACAGAACTTGAGCGTGCATAACTATTCACCCCCCCAAAGTCAATACTTTGTAGAGCCACCTTTTGCAGCAATTACAGCTGCAAGTCTCTTGGGGTATGTCTCTATAAGCTTGGCACATCTAGCCACTGGGATTTTTGCCCATTCTTCAAGGCAAAACTGCTCTAGCTCCTTCAAGTTGGATGGGTTCCGCTGGTGTACAGCAATCTTTAAGTCATACCACAGATTCTCAATTGGATTGAGGTCTGGGCTTTGACCAGGCCATTCCAAGACATTTAAATGCTTCCCCTTAAACCACTCGAGTGTTACTTTAGCAGTACGCTTAGGGTCATTGTCCTGCTGGAAGGTGAACCTCCGTCCCAGTCTGAAATCTCTGGAAGACTGAAACAGGTTTCCCTCAAGAATTTCCCTGTATTTAGCGCCATCCATCATTCCTTCAATTCTGACCAGTTTCCCAGTCCCTGCCGCTGAAAAACAACATGGTGTTCTCGGGGTGATGAGAGGTGTTGGGTTTGCGCCAAACACAGCATTTTCCTTCATGGCCAAAAAGCTCAATTTTAGTGTCATCTGACCAGAGTACCTTCTTCCATATTTTTGGGGAGTCTCCCACATGGCTTTTGGCGAACACCAAACGTGTTTGTTTATTATTTTCTTTAAGCAATGGCTTTTTTAGGGCCACTCTTCCATAAAGCCTTCTCTGTGGAGTGTACGGCTTAAAGTGGTCCTATGGACAGATTCTCCCATCTCTGCTGTGGAGCTTTGCAGATCCTTCAGGGTTATCTTTGGTCTCTTTGTTGCCTCTCTGATTAACGCCCTCCTTGCTTGGTCCGTTAGTTTTGGTGGGCGGTCCTCTCTTGGCAGGTTTGTTGTGGTGCCGTATTCTTTCAATTTTTTAATAATGGATTTAATGGTGCTCTGTCGGATGTTCAAAGTTTCTGATATTTTTTATAATCCAACCCTGATCTGTACTTCTCTACAACTTTGTCCCTGACCTGTTTGGAGAGCTCCTTGGTCTTCATGGTGCCGCTTGCTTGGTGGTGCCCCTTGCTTAGTGGTGTTGCAGACTCTGGGGCCTTTCAGAACAGGTGTATATATACTGAGATCATGTGACACTTAGATTGCACACAGGGGGACTTTATTTAACTAATTATGTGACTTCTGAAAGTAATTGGTTGCACCATATCTTATTTAGGTACTACATAGCAAAGGGGGTGAATACATATGCACGCACCACTTTTCCGTTATATATTTTTTTAGAATTTTTTGAAACAAGTTATTCTTTTCATTTCACTTCACCAATTTGGACTATTTTGTGTATGTCCATTACATGAAATCCAAATAAAAAAAAAACATTTAAATTACAGGTTGTAATGCAACAAAATAGGAAAAAACGCCAAGGGGGATGAATACTTTTGCAAGGCACTGTAGCCATGTTGTTTTCTACTCCCTATATATTAGGGTTGAATGGTGGTTACCAATATTTACCGGGATTTACCACCCAAAACCACTCCCTTTTCCCCGGATAAATAACTGTGAGAAACCGGCAAATTATAATAAATGATTTATATGAACAGCATGGCGTGAAATGGAACTGTTAAATTATATGTGATGTCTAAATCTGGCTTCTCTACGGCCTCCGCATGATGAATCAACGCTCAGGTTTGGGACAGACATCTCATCTCAGTATGGAGCGCAGTTCACAATGCATGTAGACCTATGATCTCATCATGGTTTACTTTTTTTCTTGTGACAGGTAGGCCTACATTTGCAGCAGCATAGCCTATGCTACAGTAATATAAAGACTGAATGCATGTCTAATTTACCCATCTCCATCTGGCTTTCAGGTGACCACCTTGTTTTTTTAATTTAAAAGGTTTTTTATTGTATTTTTATTGCAGCCTATCACTCAAATATCATGGCTTTAAAACAATGCATGTGTGAGCACTCTCTCACAGTCGTTCTCTCTATCCATCAACTCCATTCAAATTGCATCCAAAATAGGAAATACTGTTCTAGATTGATATATAGCCCTATATATACAGGACCAGTCAAAAGTTTGGACACACCTACTCATTCAAGGGTTTTTATTTATTTTTACTATTTTCTACAATGTAGAATAATAGTGAAGACATCAAAACTATGAAATAACACATATGGAATCATGTAGTAACCAAAAAAGTGTTAAACAAATCAAAACAAAACAAAATATACAATATATTTTGATTTGTTTAACACATTTGTGGTTACTACATAATTCCATGTGTTATTTCATAGTTTTGATGTCTTCACTATTATTCTACAATGTAGAAAATAGTAAAAATAAAGAAAAACCCTGGAATGAGTAGGTGTCCAAACTTTGGACTGGTACTGTATATATATACACAGTGCCTTCGGAAAGTATTCAGACCCCTTGACTTTTTCCACATTCTGTTACATTACAGCCTTATTCTAAAATAGATTAAATAAAACATTTTCCTCAGCAATCTACACACAATACCCCATAATGACAAAGTGAAAACAGGTTTTTATAAATGTTTGCAAATGTATTAAATATAAAAAACAGATACATTATTTACATAAGTATTCAGACCCTTTGCTATGAGACTCGAAATTGAGCTCAGGTTCATCCTGTTTCCATTGATCATCCTTGAGATGTTTCTACAACTTGACTGGAGTCCACCTGTGGTCAATTCAATTGATTGGACATGATTTGGAAAGGCACACACCTGTCTATATAAGGTCCCACAGTTGAAAGTGAATGTCAGACCAAAAACCAAGCCATGAGGTCGAAGGAATTGTCCATAGAGCTCTGAGACAGGATTGTGTCGAGGCACAGATTTGGCGAAGGGTAGCAAAAAAATTCTGCAGCATTGAAGGTCCCCAAGAACACAGTGGGCTCCATCATTCTTAAATGGAAGACGTTTGGAACCACCAAGACTCTTCCTAGAGATGGCAGCCCGGCCAAACTGAGCAATCAGGGGAGAAGGGCTCGAGAGTTCCTCTGTGGAGATGGGAGAACCTTCCAGCAGGACGACCATCTCTGCAGCACTCCACCAATCAAGCCTTTATGGTAGAGTGGCCAGACGGAAGCCACTCCTCAGTAAAAGGCACATGACAGCCCGCTTGGAGTTTGCCAAAAGGCACCTAAAGAAACAAGATTCTCTGGTCTGATGAAACCAAGATTCAACTCTTTGGCCTGAATTCCAAGCGTCACGTCTGGAGGAAACCTAGCACCATGCCTACGGTGAAGCATGGTGGTGGCAGCATCATGCTGTGGGGATGTTTTTCAGCGGCATTGACTGGGACACTAATCAGGATCGAGGCAAAGATGAACGGAGCAAAGTACAGAGAGATCCTTGATGAAAACCTGCTCCAGAGTGCTCAGGACCTCAGACTTGGATGAAGGTTCACCTTCCAACAGCACAACGACCCTAAGCACACAGCCAAGACAATGCAGGAGTGACTTCGGGCAAGTCTCTGAATGTCCAGCCAGAGCCCGGACTTGAACCCGATCTAACATCTCTGGAGAGACCTGAAAATAGCTGTGCAGCAACGCTCCCCATCCAACCTGACAAAGCTTGAGAGGATCTGCAGAGATGAATGGGAGAAACTCCCCAAATACAGATGTGCCAAGCTTGTAGCATCATACCCAAGAAGACTCAATGCTGTAATCGCTGCCAAAGGTGCTTCAACAAAGTACTGAGTAAAGGGTCTGAATACTTATGTAAATGTAATATCAGGTATTTTATTTTTAATAGATTAGCAAACAGTTCTAAAAACCTGTTTTTGCTTTGTCATTATGGGGTATTGTGTGTAGATTGAGGGAAAAAAAACAATTTAATCAATTTTAGAATAAGGCTGTAACGTAACAAAGTGGAAAAAGTCAAGAGGTCTGAATACGTTCACATTCATTCACACACGCTACTGCTACCATCTGTTTATTATCTATGCATAGTCACTTTACCCCTACCTACATGTACATATTACCTCAATTACCTGGACTAACCGTACCCCTGCACATTGACTTGGTACCCCTTATATATCCTCCTTATTGTTATTTTATTGTGTTACTCTTTTTCCTTTAGTTTATTTATCAATTTGTACTTACTTACTTTTTAAAAACTCTGCTTTGTTGGTTAAGGGCCTGTTGTATTCAGCGCATGTGACAAATACAATTTGATTTGATAAGGAAACCAATATGTAATTTGGGTGAATTATCCCTTCATGACGCTACAAAACTCCAGTCCATATCGTAAATCTCAGATTCCATCGTTTACATTCAGCCATCGATATGCTCTTCAGCCTACAGTGCAACCAACCGTGATTTTTATACTTACAGTGAATTTTTTACACCCTATTTATATTTTGGTTGTCATTGGTAAACACGATTTATCTGCCTACCCAGTCTTTCAAGGGATTGGGCCGTTGAGCTTTCAGTCACCTCCTTTCCTCCCATTTGGCCTCCATTGGTTGGCTGTTGTCCCTTCTCCTTCTCTCTGTCGCGGCGGTGGGTCGGAGTTGCTGTGTCCCCGATCTGGCACGTTCCTAGCCAAATTCTTAACGGTTTTAAAATTGGATTGTCCTTTTACGATATCTCCACAGTGCTAAACCCCACCAAATTTAAAGCCAGTACTCCCTAATTCGAGCCTATTTCCCCCCCACACAGTCTCAATATTATAACCCCCAAGAAGATGGCGGTTGGCTCAGCAGTTGCCCGGCTTGAGGGCCGAGAATTCGAATACCTGATGAAGAAGAGGTCGGCGACCATCGGACGGAACTCATCGCAGGGCTCGGTGGACGTCAGCATGGGCCACTCCAGTTTCATTTCCCGTCGGCACCTCGAAATTTTCACCGCCGGTGAAGACGGCACCGGTAGCGGGGAATTCTACCTCCGATGCCTTGGCAAAAACGGGGTGTTTGTTGATGGGGTGTTCCAGAGACGAGGGGCTCCACCTCTGCAGCTCCCACGAATGTAAGATGGGGGTAGTATTTTAACATTTTATGTCGAGGTAAAAGCGCTAACGTAAAGGTGATGATATTCTGACCTCGCGTTGTTATTGTTTTGTTCCCTAGCCGCAGCACGTGTTGTGACAAGCGCCTGTCCACACACAGTGAGCCGCTGGTAACGCTGGCTTTGTTTGCATAGAAGGGTTACGCAAAGAACAACCAAAAAATGTTGTAATTTAACATTACTAACCGTGCGTATGTAGGTACTGTAGTTGGCTAGCTATGTTTGTATATTTATTGAAAGCTAAACGTGTTTACGGGGAATGTGTATGTAGCTATCTAAGGCTAGCTTTACTTGTGCAAAGGGCCATGCTTTGGCTAAACGTCAGCTTCGTTTCTAGTCGGATGTGTTGCAATTTTTGCACAGCTTAATGTACAAATAAACAAGCCTGCCCCATGTTTTGTTATTGTCAGTATGGGCTGTAAATCAAGCTGAATTAATAGATTTTCCAAATGGAGCCAGTAACCAAATGTTACCCGACGTTTCTGTTTACAATTTTACATTTTAGCAGAGCGACTTACAGTAGTGAGGGCAAATTATTTGTCATACTTTTTCGTGCTGGTCCCCCGTGGGAATCGAACCCACAACCCTGGCGTTGCAAGTGTCATGCTCTACCAACTGAGCATGAAATGGTAAATAGAAATAGGGGGTTGGAAATAGTCTTGATTGTTATGATTAGTAGAACTGCATACCAATCTGATTCTATTGAATACTTTTTTTTATTGTCATATACACTGTAAAGGTGCAGTGAAATGTGGTGTTTTACTGGTCTGAAATGTCAAATAGTTATATGTCACAGCATGCCAGTCAGCTGGTCCCATAGCAGATGATATGGTCCAAATATACCCCATTGTAATAGTAAGTAAGACCTGTTATGTAAGTGCCATTTATAAACCCTGTTTATAGGCTAACTCTTCTGGCCCACACTGGTTCAGGTCCTATTAGACTGCCTCTGCATGTTTTGATATGAGAAGATGCCCACTCAACACTGCTGGTGTGTTGCAGTCAGAATGCATAATGAAAGTGACATTCTCACTATTAATGTTGAGTGAGTCTTGGTAGGTCTGGATGGCCTGCACTTGTCATGTCCTACTGTTCTGTCTTTGACTCTCCCTCCCTCTCTTTCGCTGTTCTCCAGGTGCTGTCTCCGGTTCCCCAGCACCAACATCAAGATCACGTTCACAGCCCTGTCCAGCGATAAGAAGGAGCGTAGGAACGTGTCGGAGTCGCCAGTAAAGCCCGTCCAGCCCCAAATGGCACCGCTGACCATCAACATTCCAGACAACATCGCACACCTCATAAGCCCCCTGCCCTCACCCACTGGCACCATCAGGTGAGACTGAAGTGAAGAGCATTGCAGATGGCAGGGTAATTCAAATCTGGATCTGGAAGCTTGTGCCACTTCTGGTTTTCATTCTTCCCTTGGTGACCTGGTGGGTGTAATTAATTATCAGGTAGAACAGAAAACCAGCAATACTCCGGACCTCCAGGCTCAGATTTGAATACTCCTGGTAGAGCTGGCCGATATGGACAAAAATCAATTTCGCGTAAATTGACTGAATTATCATGATAATGATAAATTGAACAATAAATTCATAACATTAATGTGCACCAGTAGCTTTTTAAATATTACCCTTAAAAGTACTAATACAACTTTGAATGTTGTAGCTATCAATTGTCCGGTTACCAATAGCCCATATTAGCAGACTTATTTTATTTCAAACTTCACATTCCTCTAGTAAAGGCTAATTATCGTTATTATCGATCAATAAAATTATAAATGGTCGGTATGGATACGTTTTGAGTTTATCGTCCCATCTAACTCCTGGCATATACACGGAGTGTACAAAACATTAAGAACACTTTCCTAATATTGAATTGCACTCCCCCCTTTTACCCTCAGAACAGCCTCAATTCGTCGGGGCATGGACTCTACAAGGTGTCGAAAGCGTTCCACAGGAATGCTGGCCCATGTTGACTCCAATGCTTCCCACAGTTGTGTCAAGTTGGCTGCATGACCTTTGGGTGGTGGACCATTCTTGATACACACAGGAAACTGTTGAGCGTGAAAAACCCAGCAGCATTGCAGTTCTTGACACAAACCGGTGCGCCTGGCACCTACTACCATACTCCGTTCAAAGGCACGTAAATGTTTTGTCTTGCCCATTCACCCTCTGAATGGCACACATCCACAATCCCTGTCTCAAGGCTTAAAAATCCTTCTTTAACCTGTCCCCTCCCCTTCATCGACACTGATTTTAAGTGGATTTAACAAGTGACATCAATAAGGGATCATACCATTGACCTGGTCAGTCTGTCATGGAAAGAGCAGGTGTTTTATACACTCAGTGCCTTCGGAAAGTATTAAGACCCATTGAGTTTTCCCCAAAAAAATTACGTTACAGCCTTATTCTAAAATTGATTACATTGTTTTTTTCCCTCATCAATCTACACACAATACCCCATAATGACAAAGCAAAAACAGGTTTTTAGAAATGTTTGCTAATCTATTAAAAATAAAATACCTGATATCACATTTACATAAGTATTCAGACCCTTTACTCAGTACTTTGTTGAAGCACCTTTGGCAGCGATTACAGCATTGAGTCTTCTTGGGTATGACTCTACAATCTTGGCACACCTGTATTTGGGGAGTTTCTCCAATTCTTCTCTGCAGATCCTCTCAAGCTCTCAGGTTGGATGGGGAGTGATGCTGCACAGCTATTTTCAGGTCTCTCCAGAGATGTTAGATCGGGTTCAAGTCCGAGCTCTGGCTGGGCCACTCAAAGACATTCAAAGACTTGTCCCGAAGCCACTCCTGCATTGTCTTGGCTGTGTGCTTACGTACGTTGTCCTGTTGGAAGGTGAACCTTCGCCCCAGTCTGAGGTCCTGAGCGCTCTGGAGCAGGTTTTCATCAAGGATCTCTCAGTACTTTGCTCCGTTCATCTTTGCCTCGATCCTGACTAGTCTCCCAGTCCATGCCGCAGAAAAACACCCCCACAGCATGATGCTGCCACCACCATGCTTCACCGTAGGCATGGTGCCAGGTTTCCTCCAGACGTGACGCTTGGCATCAGGCCAAAGAGTTCAAGCTTGGTTTCATCAGACCAGAGAATCTTGTTTTTCATGGTCTGAGAGTCTTTAGGTGCCTTTTGGCAAACTCCAAGCGGGGTGTCATGTGCCTTTTACTGAGGATTGGCTTCCGTTTGGCCACTCTACCATAAAGGCCTGATTGGTGGAGTGATGCAGAGATGGTTGTCCTTCTGGAAGGTTCTCCCATCTCCACAGAGGAACTCTCGAGCTCTGTCAGAGTGACCATCAGGTTCTTGGTGACCTCCCTGACCAAGGCCCTTCTACCCAGGCTGCTCAGTTTGGCCGGGCGGCCAGCTCTAGGAAGAGTCTTGGTGGTTCCAATCTTCTTATATTTAAGAATGATAGAGGCCACTGTGTTCTTGGGGACCTTCAATGCTGCATACATTTTTTGGTACCCTTCCCCAGATCTGTGCCTTGACACAATCCTGTCCCGGAGCACTACGGGCAATTCCTTCGACCTCATGGCTTGGTTTTTGCTCTGACATACCCTGTCAACTGTGGGACCTTATATAGATAGGTGTGTGCCTTTCCAAATCATATCCAGTCAATTGAATTGACCACAGGTGGACTCCAATCAAGTTGTAGAAACAGCTCAAGGATGATCAATGGAAACAGGATGCACCTGAGCTCAATTTCGAGTCTCATAGCAAAGGGTCTGAATACTTACGTAAATAAGATATTTCTGTTTTTAATAAATTTGCAAAAATGTCTAAAAACCTGTTTTTGCTTTGTCGTTATGTGGTATTGTGTGTAGATTGATGAGGATTTATTTTTATTGAATCGATTTTAGGATAAGGCTGTAACGTAGCAAAATGTGGAAAAAGTCAAGGGGTCTGAATACTTCCCAAAGGCACTGTATTTATTGCGCCTCCAGAGGAGGTTTAAGATACCATGGTTATGTCTTGGATGCTTGATGGATCTAAGATATTTTCTGCCATCACAGGATTTCCATGTTCATCACCAAACCACACTCTCTACCACTCAGTCTCACCGTTTAAATTGTTTCTCACCCCAAAACAGTGCTGCCAACTCCTGTCCAAACTCCTGTCCGTCAAGTCCCCGAGGGGCGGGTCTGTCTGGCTATAGGATGGGCCGTGTACTGACCGCTGACCTCATCAATGAGAACTCCCAATCAGACGAAAAGGACTGCTCGGGAGGAGACAGCCCCAAGGTGAGACACCAGCAACACAGGGGCACATCCCAATAGTCTAAAGTGGCTTCCTCTCTATTCCTCACACGCTGATATGAAGAGGTCAGTCAAAGCAGTATAATTGAAGCCAAATGAGAGACCTGACCAGCTCTTACAGAGAATTCCACTTTAGACGGTTGAAATGCACACCTAGTACTGGGGTGAACCGGTGATGTGGAAGCATTCAGAACGTTGAAAATAGAAATGAGACTAATAGAGCTAAACAAATCCCTGCTCTGCCTGACAGTTGTGTCTGTTCTACACAACGCGTTTCTATCTCCACGTTCTGTAATGTGGCACCCTCTTGAACACACCCCTGACTCCATTGTCTTTAGAGGCGGCAGGTAGCTTAGTGGTTAAGAGCGTTGTGCCAGTAACCGAAAGGTCGCTGGTTCTAATCCCTGAGACGACTAGGTGAAAAATCTGTCGATGTGCCCTTGAGCAAGGCACTTAACCCTAATTGCTCCTGTAAGTCGCTCTGGATAAGAGCGTCTGCTAAATGACTAAAAAAAAAAAAAAAAAAGGTAGATCCCAGGGTGATGGGGAACAAACATTGGTTTTGTTTTGGTTCTCTGGGATGGGTTACTCATTGAAGTCCAAAAGTTGCCCAATGTTGGTGAAAATGTAGACTTTAGAGTAACGAATCCTGTTGAACTATAACTCTCCTTGCTTTCCAACGTGTGTGTGAGGAACGTGAAACTGAAAACCAAACTCTTGAACCTTTTTTTTTTTTATTAAAAAGTTTATTGACCCAGATAAACACATGCAATACATACACATCAATCATAACACAAATCTAATCAAATATCTGTAGCATGAAAGAAAATGCTTTCTCCATTTGTTCTGTCCTCAGGATGACTCCAAGCCACCGTATTCCTATGCCCAACTAATAGTCCAGGCCATCACCATGGCCCCCGACAAGCAGCTGACTCTCAATGGGATTTACACACACATCACCAAGAACTACCCCTACTACAGGACTGCAGACAAGGGCTGGCAGGTCGGTGAATCCACCCTGTATTTCATGCTGCTGTGGTATATTTCTCTTCAAACCAGACAAACTTGACATCTTTCTAAGTCATCCAGTCTCACTTTATCCATCACAACCTGTCTCTTTCATGTACATCTTTCTGTTCTAGAATCTGATCTGTTTCTCTCGCTTTCATCATTCTCACAATATGTCGCTTTTGTGTTCTAGAATCTCAATTCGCCATAACCGTACCATGGTAATGAATGCTGTCTCTCTCTACTGTGTTCTAGAACTCGATCCGTCACAACTTGTCTCTGAACCGCTACTTCATCAAAGTGGCTCGGTCTCAGGAGGAGCCGGGTAAGGGATCGTTCTGGAGGATCGACCCCTCATCAGAGGGCAAGTTGTGTGAACAGGCGTTCAGGAAGCGCAGGCCCAGGGGGGTACCCTGCTTCAGGACCCCACTAGGACCACTCTCATCCAGGTAAAAATCGTTTTCACTATAAGTCAGATGTTCCTGTATTTCCCTGTATATTTCCCTCTCGTATATACTGTAGTTTGAAATAGCATGCAGTTCTACAGCAGTATATTAACTCACCACAGTTTGGCAGTGCAGGTAGATGAAATTATTTGTCTGTCTGGGACACTGAGCTCTAAAGGAGTCAATGGGCTCTGGGTAGGATGTTTATTTTTGGCATGTAGAACACAAAGATGAAACTCTCTCACTTTTGCTAATCATTCTAATAGTCTACCTGCTGTTCTCCCTTCAGGAGTGCCCCGGCCTCTCCTAGCCACACAGGGGGACTGTCAGCCCACTCCAGTGGTGTGCAGACCCCAGAAAGCCTGTCCAGGGAGGGTTCCCCTGTGCCCATGGACCCAGAGCCAGCCCGGGCCATAGCCCCCACCACAGCCACTGCCCTACAGCCCAAACTAGCTGTCATCCAGGAGGCCCAATTCGCTCCTGGTGAGCTATGTTATGTTGGAGGTTGTTGTTTCAACTGTGTTGGTGGGTGGTTAACAACTCCACTTCTTGTCTGACCTCTGATTCTTGTCTCTGATAGGCTCCCCTCTGAACAGCCAGCCGGTGCTGATCGCCATGCAGCGACAGTTGCCCCAGACGACCATGAAACCTGTTACCTACACCATGGCAACACCTGTCATGACAACAGCTGTAAGCTCCGCCCCCGTCATGCAGACGGTGCATGTACTCCAACAGATCCCAATGGTCACCATGGCTACTATTGCTGCTACACAGAACTCCGTCGTTACCGTAAAGACAGAACCGCAGGAGAACAGAGGGGGAGACCACAATGGGGTCAAAGGTGAGGAGACAGTTTAGCGTATAGATTTACAGTTACATTTAAATGTTCTTTCTTTGCTGTAACAGTCCCTTATAAATGAAAAACTGTAGTCATATATCTCTGTGTTTCTCTCTTCCCCAGTCAAAGTGGAGCCGGTCCCAGCCGTCACTACTTCCTCTATAGTCAGGGCCAATCGCATCATCCAGACCTCCCAGGCCACGCCCCTAACAACGGTTACCATCTTGCAGCAGGCCCCCCTGGGTCAGCATCGGCTTCCTATAAAGACCATCACACAGAACGGGACTCGCCTGATCCCAATCACTACTGCTGCTAACACAGGTGAGACACACTCAAAATGGATGAAGCTTGTAAAAATGGCACATGATTGGAATGACATGTCTAAAATGACCAGCCTTTTCACTCAGTAGTGCTTGTTTATGTCAGGGTTGCCATGAATCCAGTAGTAAAACTCTCTCTCTCCCCTCTCAGCAGTGGTGAACCCCCTCCACCTGTTGGCAGCCCACGCCTCGGCCTCTGCATCACTGCCCACCAAGAGGCAGAACGGGGAGGTGGCCGACCCCCCCGAACCCAAGAGAGTCAAAATGGAGGAGGGGAGCGAGAGCATAATCCCCGCTGTAAACAACAACTCACACACAAACAGAGACGAGGAGAATGGGGTTAGTGAAAAGGCCAGCGATGACTAGAGGTCCTGACCCCTCTCCTCAATGAGCCCCCTCCATCTGTTCTCCCCCCCGACCTGACTCCCACGCTGAACCACGTTGATCATTACTCTAAAGGGAGAAAAGAGATATGGATCCACCTCCGGACTACAGAATGTGTGACCAGTAGACAGACCACTCAACCACTCACAATTGGTATAAAAATAGGAAAATAATAATTGAATGAAGTTGCTAAAGAGGTGACATTGTTTTGGAGAGATTAAACCTTAAGAGAAGCGCGGTAAACCTTCATATACAAGTTACAAAAATAAAAAGTAAAAAAATATATGTTAACAAGATGAAAACGGAACTACCAGAATCACCAAGGCTTCCACTGCTGATTGGTAGGTTCCCCTGTCAGTTTTTGCCCAGGACATGCCCCCAAGGGAGGGATGTAGCCAATGGCGTCATCCCGGCAGCATGATAGACAAGCGCTTAATATTTGGAAAGAAATGACTTCAACAACCGTTAACAGTGGTGTATTCCTAAAGGGTGTGTGTGGAACCATTTCCTATATCTCTGGCAGCTAGCCTTCATGTTGACCTGCCTAATGCAGTCGTGAGTGAGTAGAGATGTCGTATTTTGTTGTACACGTGTATCCTAGGATCGTCTTTGAGTGTACCACCCGTTTCCCAAGGCACAGACATTTTAGTAATAACCAATACTAAAAGCTATAAGAAATGAGGTCAAAAACATTTAACGTCACCTGATATTGTGGAATCTTTGTTCAGTGAAATGAATGTAGTCACCTTTTTCCTTCAAGAACACACTATTGAGTGGATTGTTTTTGTTTTTCTGTTGTCAAACACAAAATAAGTTTCCAAATCACTGAATATCTACAGATTTGTCATATTTTAACAAATATCCTATAAGAAAAAGTATATTTCCATGCGTGTTTGACCGTATGCTTCATCAATGCTTGCATGTTACTGAATTTAGAGAGAATGTACATGAGCAGATAACTGAATATGGAACTGAAGAAAATAAGACTGAATCTATGCTATACTGTATGATTCTGACCAGTGCAGCACTTACCCTCTTCATTTCCTTTTTATTTTATTTCCCTTTATTCTGTTTTCCCTGTCATCAATGGCTGTGTTTGTTACCTTTTGTGTTGAAAGTTGGCAGTCTCCTTGCTTGATTGTTTTATTCTGTTCAGGCTCCCTGAAGTCTCTTCAGATTGTATTTAGTTTCCACGAGGAAAAACAAGTGATATGTTTGTTCTGCTTCGGTGGGTAAATGCGTCCTTTTTTTTTGGTATTTTTTTTATATATAAATTAATTTCAACCTCTGTCCTGTCGTACCGTTGTCTGTCTGTGTGTTTTTGACTCGCTCTGCTACTGATAAAGGCACATTCACACAGAGAAACAGACACTCAGTGTTTGTCGCCTTGTCAAAGGACATTGTTTTCAACCTGAGATGCCTTGACAAGGGGGCAAAAGCCAGCCACGGTGAGATCAACCATCCTTTTGCAAGGCGTCTCCGGTTGACAGCGGTGGAAACCTTACCATTTTAATGTAACATCGGTGAATCTCTTTATTTCCTCTAATGCAGTGGTCTTCTAGGGGCCCAAGCTACAGTCTGTTCTGTACCACTGGAGAGAAACGACACTACAGAGAAGCAGCTGCTTGGCAGATAGTTGACGGCTCTGCCTGGTGTTGAGATTAGGGAATACTAGTCTAGTGCTAGGGAAGTAGGTAGGACATGGTTTGTTTCACCGTGACTGTAGCTGCATTCCTAGGATTTTCACTGGTGTTCCAGGAAGTCACTGCAGGCCAGATGTGTGGGAGACCTAGGGAGAACACTTCCTCTATGAAACGGCACCCTATTAAACATTTGAGTCATTTACGAGATGCTCTAATCCAAAGCGATTTACAGATAGTGTGTTCATTTTAAAATGGCTATGTGAGACAACCACATATCACAGTCATAGTAAGTATATGTTTCTTCAAAGTAGCTACCAGCAAAGTCAGAGCGAATAAGGGGGGGGGGGGGGGGGGGTAAAGTGTCACGTGCGTGTGTTAATTCACAACTTTTTTTTTTTTTTTGGAGGGTGCGACGAGAGTATATACAGTGGGGAGAACAAGTTAATGATACACTGCCAATTTTGCAGGTGTTCCTACTTACAAAGCATGTAGAGGTCTATAATTGTTATCATAGGTACACTTCAACTGTGAAAGACGGAATCTAAAACAAAAATCCAGAAAATCACATTGTATGATTTTTAAGTAATTAATTTGCATTTTATTGCATGACATAAGTATTTGATCACCTACCAACCAGTAAGAATTCCGGCTCTCACAGACCTGTTAGTTTTTCTTTAAGAAGCCCTCCTGTTCTCCACTCATTACCTGTATTAACTGCACCTGTTTGAACTCGTTACCTGTATAAAAGACACCTGTCCACACACTCAATCAAACAGACTCCAACCTCTCCACAATGGCCAAGACCAGAGAGCTGTGTAAGGACATCAGGGATAAAATTGTAGACCTGCACAAGGCTGGGATGGGCTACAGGACAATAGGCAAGCAGCTTGGTGAGAAGGCAACAACTGTTGGCGCAATTATTAGAAAATGGAAGAAGTTCAAGATGACGGTCAATCACCCTCGGTCTGGGGCTCCATGCAAGATCTCACCTCGTGGGGCATCAATGATCATGAGGAAGGTGAGGGATCAGCCCAGAACTACACGGCAGGACCTGGTCAATGACCTGAAGAGAGCTGGGACCACAGTCTCAAAGAAAACCATTAGTAACACACTACGCCGTCATGGATTAAAATCCTGCAGCGCACGCAAGGTCCCCCTGCTCAAGCCAGCGCATGTCCAGGCCCGTCTGAAGTTTGCCAATGACCATCTGGATGATCCAGAGGAGGAATGGGAGAAGTCAATGTGGTCTGATGAGCCCAAAATATAGCTTTTTGGTCTAAACTAACTCCACTGGGCCATGTTTGGAGGAAGAAGAAGGAGAGTACAACCCAAAACACCACCCAACCGTGAAGCATGGAGGTGGAAACATCATTCTTTGGGGATGCTTTTCTGCAAAGGGGACAGGACGACTGCACCGTATTGAGGGGAGATGGATGGGGCCAGGGTTATCGCGAGATCTTGACCAAACCTCCTTCCCTCAGTAAGAGCTTTGAAGATGGTCGGGGTTGGGTCTTCTAGCATGATAACGACCCGAAACACACAGCCAGGGCAACTAAGGAGTGGCTCCGTAAGAAGCATCTCAAGGTCCTGGAGTGGCCTAGCCAGTCTCCAGACCTGAACCCAACCGAAAATCTTTGGAGGGAGCTGAAAGTCCCGAAACCTGAAGGATCTGGAGAAGGTCTGTATGGAGGAGTGGGCCAAAATCCCTGTTGCAGTGTGTGCAAACCTGGTCAAGACCTACAGGAAACATATGATCTCTGTAATTGCAAACAAAGGTTTCTGTACCAAATTTTAAGTTCTGCTTTTCTGATGTATCAAATACTTATGTCATGCAATAAAATGCAAATTAATTACTTAAAATTCATACAATGTGATTTTCTGGATTTTTTTTATTTTTTAGATTCCGTCTCTCACAGTTGAAGTGTACCTATGAAAAAAATTACAGACCTCTACATGCTTTGTAAGTAGGAAAACCTGCAAAATCGGCAGTGTATCAAATACTTGTTCTCCCCACTGTAGTGCACTACCTTTGGTCTACATCACCCTGAACAAAAGTAGTGCACTGGGCCTCCCGGGTGGCGTAGCGGTCTAAGCCACTGCATCACAGTGTTGTGGTGTCACTGCAGCCCGGGGTTCAATCCCAAATGGCTGGTGCACAATTGGCCCATCGTAGTCCGGGATAGGGGCGGGTTTGGCTGATTTTGGAATGAGATGTTTGACGAGCAGGTGTCCACATACTTTTGCTCATGTCGTGTATGTCCGTATGCTGACGCACACAGTGAACTCCAAAAGTATTGGGACAGTGACACATTGGGCTCTGTACTCCAACACTTTGGATTTGAAACGATACAATGACTGTGAGGTTAAAGTGCAGACTGTCAGCTTTAATTTGAGGGTATTTTCATCCACATCGGGTGAACCGTTTAGAAATTACAGCACTTTTTGTACATAGTCCCCCCCCCATTTAAAGGACCAAATGTATTGGGCCTAATTCACTAATGCGTATTAAAGTAGTCAAAAGTTTAGTATTTGGTCCCATATTTATGGCACGCAATAGCTTGTTACTTTACAAACTTGTTGGATGCATTTGCTGTTTGTTTTGGTTGTGTTTCAGATCATTTGTACCCAATAGAAATGAATGGTAAATAATGTATTGTGTCATTTTGGAGTCACTTATTGTAAATAAGAATGTTTCTGAACATTTCTACATTAATGTGGATGCTACCATGATTACGGATAATCCTGAATGAATCGTGAATAATGAGTGAGAAAGTTAGACTCACAAATATCATATCCTCCCCCCCCCCCCCAAATGATAACCTCCCCTGTTATGGTGAGAGGTTAGCATGCCATGGCGGTATGTTATTTGTGCATCATTCAGGATTATCAGTAATCATGATAGCATCCACATTAATGTAGAAGTGTTTAGAAACATATTAGGGGAGGGGTTAACAGCTGTCTAGGGGAGGGGTTAACAGCTGGCTAGGGGAGGGGTTACCAGCTGGCTAGGGGAGGGGTTGGGAAGGAGTTAACAGCTGGCTAGGGGAGGGGTTAAGAGCTGTCTAGGGGAGGGGTTAAGAGCTGTCTAGGGGAGGGGTTAACAGCTGGCTAGGGGAGGGGTTAACAGCTGGCTAGGGGAGGGGTTAACAGCTGTCTAGGGGATGGCTTGGGGAGTTGTTTTCGGACCAAGCATGGTTCCTTCTAAACTAAAGTAACCTTGTGAATGCATATGCTGAAATAACATACTAAAACAGATCACACACTACCTTAAACAGAGTTACACACTCTACCTTAAACAGAGTTACACACACTACCCCGGGTCATGTACAAATGTCCATACGAACATGACGTTTTATTCACAAATTTAAATGCAGGATTTTACAATCATTTTGAATTTGTCATATAAACAGGAGAGTTTGTGCCGCGTCCCTGTGTAGTTAAATGGTAGCATAGCATTGTGTGTGTGGTTTTTCTTCACATTGTGAAATGTGTAGGGATTAAATTCCCCCGGCATATGTACAATCAGAGCTGGATGCAACAAATGAAATGCATTCAGAGAGCGGTGCCCATTGAATTCAAACTGAAAGAGAAATGTGCGTCGGACAAATGACAAACACACTGATACAGAAAAATACATTGTAGTACTGCATTGTAAGGTCACATGGCCCAAAAAGCTGGATCTGATGCTGTGACAAACATGAGATCTAAAGTCAATACTGCTTGTAGATCCACAAATGTTACCATCATTTGTAGATGAGATCATTTATGCAGACGCTTGCTCAAGCTGACCAAGCAGAAGAGAGTTCTCGCTTCAAGAGATAAACTACACCAGTCAATTAAACCTCACAAAAAAGGAATGGTTGTGCATTCAGTCACACAAGGAGGTGGATTTTGGTTTAATTCAGCTAGAATGTGTCACTCATAAGACTTTAATCTTGAAAGCACATTTTTTAATGTAAGCAAAGGGGGTGGGAACTGTATTTTCTATTCACTTTGATCATGGCAGAATATTGCAGCAGTTTCCACAATGACTGGGAAGGCTTGGTTCTGGGGAAACGGTTGTATTCATTCATGAACGGATGTATGATAAACATTTGTTTCTTTGAAATAATTAGGTCCGCTTAGGAAGAGATATGTCATTCAAAATCATCTGAGACTGATCAAGTTTCCGAGTTTGACCTTTACATCGAGTTTTGATCGTAATCAAAGTACTTGGGCCTAGATTCAATCCGTACCGCGGAAGAGCTGCGATACAGCGCGATTGACATTCATTTCCGATTGAGCCGACAGATGCACGGAAACATCGCCTTTAAAAAGGTGCATAGCCGAAAAAGGGGCAATCGGATTGAATCTAGCCCGAAATCAGTGCTTTTGGTTTGGCTTATAGGTACTAACTAGAGTTCTAACTAATTTACCTCATCTTCTCTCCACAAGGGAGACTCATACTGTCAAAAATATTGCACATACATACATACATACATACATACATACATAGTAAGCAACAACATGAAACGTCAGGAAAGGGGAAACAATAACACATTCATCACCATGAGAGATGTCTTTTTCTATTCTGTACGATCTATATGCAGTAAGTTACATATGTTCAGTCTGGCGTATTCATTGTGTTTATACAGCGGGTAAAAGCTAACTCTAACTCTACCAGGGTGAGGTTTCACCAAGAGGAATCCCTGACGTTAACCAGATAAACCTAACCAATGTGAATAAAGCCTGAAGCATCAAGTTCATGTAAAAATAGGAACTTTAAAGGGTGACTCAATTCTTCAACTGTAGGAAGATAATAGATCTTTCTAGATCTATTTCAAAATGTTTATCCATCTGGCTAACTCAAAGATCTTACCTTGTGAAATCCCACCCAAATATACATATGTACAGTGCCTTAAGGACGTATTCACACCCCTTGACTTTTTCCACATTTTGTTGTGATACAGCCAGAATTGAAAATTGATTAAATTGAAATTTGTTTGTCACTGGTGTACACACAATACCCCAAAATGTCAAAATGGAATAATGTTTTTCAAAATTTTTACAAAATAATTACAAATTAAAACTGACATGGACTCACTATGTGCAATAATTGAGTTTAACATTATTTTTGAATGACTACCTCATCTCTGTACCCCACACATACAATTATCTGTAAGGTCCATCAGTCAAGCAGTGAATTTCAAACACAGATTCAACCACAAAAACCGGGGAGGTTTTCCAAAGGAAACTGCTCAGGGATTTCACCATGAGGCCAATGGTGACCTTAAAACAGTTAGTTTAATGGATGGATCAACAACATTGTAGTTACTCCACAATACTAACCTAATTGACAGAGTGAAAAGAAGGAAGCCTGTAGAGAATAAAACTATTCCAGATCATGCATCCTGTTTGCATCAAGGCACTAAAATAATCCTGCAAAAAATGTGGCAAAGCCATTAACTTTTGGTCCTGAACACAAAGTGTTGTATTGGATTTGCCCCAAACATAACACATTACTGAGTACCACTCTCCATATTTTCAAGCATAGTGGTGGCAGCATCATGTTACGGGTATGCTTGTAATTGTTAAGGACTAGGGAGTTTTTCAGAATAAAAAAAAGAAATGGAATGGAGCTAAACACAGGCAAAATCCTAGAGGAAAAACTGGTTCAATCTGCTTTCCAACAGACACTGGGAAATGAATTCACCTTTCAGCAGGACAATAACCGAAAACACAACGCTAAATCTACACTGGAGTTGCTTACCAACAGAACAGTGAATGTTCCCGAGTGGCCGAGTTACAGTTTTGACTTAAATCTACTTGAAAATCTATGGCAAGACCTGAAAATGGTTGTCAAGCCATGATCAACAACCAATTTGACAGAGCTTGAAGAATTTTGAAAATAATAAAAAATGGGCAAATGTTGCACAATCCAGTTGTGGAAAGCTCTTATAGACTTACCCAGAAAGACTCACAGCTGTAATCGCTGCCAAAGGTGCTTCTACAAAGTATTGACTCAGGGGTGTGAATAGTTATATAAATGAGACATTTCTGTATTTCATTTTCAATAAATGTGCAAACATTTCTAAAAACATGTTTTCACTTTGTTATTATGAGGTAATGTGTGTAGATGGGTGCAATTTAAAAAATATTTAATCCATTTTGAATTCAGGCTGTAACACAACAAAATGTAGAATAAGTCAAGGGGTCTGAATACTTTCTGAAGACACATATGCGAGTATATACACACTCCACTCTTGATTCCGCTCAGAGGCACTCCCTATAGTTAGATTAGGTGGTATTAGTTTACTATATTTATTTTTCTATGTATCTACCTGTTAGAATCAACGCTATACCCCTTTAAAAAATAACCAGAATAATCGACCATCATCCTAAATTCCACGGAAGACATCTTTAAAAAGCAACAAAAATTAGTTTCCCTGTTTGGATCTCAGAGTTGCAGGACAAGGAGGTCCAGGTGCCATCAGTTAGTCTGTCCATCTGTCTGTCTTTCACTAGTTGTCCAAGGATGGTCTCTAAGTAGTTTGTGTCAGAGAGGGCATTGAGTTCATTCAATCGCTCCCTCCATCCGTTCTTTCGTCCTCTGTCGTTTCTGAGACGGTCTCCCCCTCTCCTTCCCTCTGACACTCCTCCATTGAGAGTCTATCAGCACTTGTAAGCAGATCCACCTAACCACCTCCTCCTTATGTCCATCCCCCCTTGTCATCCTGCTCCAGAAAATAAACACGTCTGTCTTTCTGCAGGAGGTGGTTGGGTTAAAGGTCAACCCTGGACACGTCTGTCTTTCTGCAGGAGGTGGTTGGGTTAAAGGTCAACCCTGGACACGTCTGTCTTTCTGCAGGAGGTGGTTGGGTTAAAGGTCAACCCTGGACACGTCTGTCTTTCTGCAGGAGGTGGTTGGGTTAAAGGTCAACCCTGGACACGTCTGTCTTTCTGCAGGAGGTGGTTGGGTTAAAGGTCAACCCTGGACACGTCTGTCTTTCTGCAGGAGGTGGTTGGGTTAAAGGTCTGTCTTTCTGCAGGAGGTGGTTGGGTTAAAGGTCTGTCTTTCTGCAGGAGGTGGTTGGGTTAAAGGTCTGTCTTTCTGCAGGAGGTGGTTGGGTTAAAGGTCAGATCTTCTCATCAGTCATCTCCAGGAACTGGGCGTAGACGTCTCGGGAACACTCCCCCTTCGGGTTGAACAGGAACTTGTAGTAGCTGCCGTCAGCACAAATGGCTGGGGGGGAAGGAAGGAAGGAAGTGGGAGAGAGAGAGAGAGAGACAGCGAGAGACCAGAGGAGAGAGAGAAGAGAGAGAGAGACAGACATAGAGACCAGAGAGAGGAGACAGAGAGAGATAGAGAGAGAGAGAGAGAGATGATAGAGAGAGGAGAGAGAGAGAGAGAGACAGTGCGCAGAGCTACAAAGAGACAGTGAGGGAGAAGACCCCATAAGAAAGAGAATGTACAACAACATAATCATACATAAACATCATCATATTCTGGTGTTGGAGAAAACTAGCCACACATGTAGAACACATGTCCTGCTCAAATTCTAAAATAGTGTCAACAATAAAACAATCAAATAAGTGGTGTCAGGTCAACAATAACATGTGTCAACATGGAAAAAATGTCACTCTGAATGTGTTTATAGACACTGGACAGGAAGCAGGAAGTAGCTGGAGTATGACTAACGTATGACTGCACTGGGCTCTGTTCCAGAGGTGTGCCAACACAAACATATACACAGAGAGCGATACCACACCACACACACACCTCACCTATGACAGAGTTGGGTTCTGTTCCGAAGGCACACACACACGGCGAATTTGATGGAACCTGGAACTTGGAGAAGCTCCACTTGGAGCTGAAGTACTTAGGAAGGAAACTGGCCGAGGCTAAGCTAAGGAAAATAAAAAAAAGAGGAAAAAAAGGGATTCAGGGATGTGTTTGGAATTATAGGAAACAAAGCAATGATTTGGGAATGGGTTTGGAATGGTGGCTGGTTTAAAGATTAACATTAAAAAGCAATGTGATAACTTCAAAGTTACTCTTCCAATAACATAGACAACTCTCTCAAAAGGAGCTTTATCACCACTGGCACCAAGGCAGTACTTTAATCTATGATCACTGTTGCAGTACATTGGACCTCTTAAGAGTTCCAGTCGAAAGTACATAGAAAGGTCAAAATGTTTGTCTCAGACAAATCAAATCAGACAGACCTGGACTGTTTGTTCCTGTTGGGGTCCTCTGCTGCGAATATGTGGACTGTCCCGTGGTCACTAGACAGACAGATGAGGGATGCGTCTTGATTGAAGTTGATGCTGGGGAGGGGAAATAGAGGGTTACCAATCAGGACTAGAACAACTTACTTACTGTGACTAATATGTGGTTGTACCTAGCAACCTTAAGATAGACGCACTCTGGATCAGAGCATCTGCTAAATGACTCAAATGGAAACATTAGTTCATTTGTCACATCTAATATCAGGTGAAGACGACACCCTGGTTGGTTGGTTGGTCTCACCAGTAGATGTTAGCAGCCTGTGACCCTCGCCTCAACTCCTGAATCAGGTGACCTGCCATGGTGTCAAATATTCTGATCAGGGTCCCCTAGAGAGAGAAACAAACAGACACGGTGTTGGGAGTTGGTTATGCCTAGTCTACAAGCAACCATGACAACCAGTTCTAGATATAAAAGGTACCGTCTAAGCCCAGGAGTAGTTTAAAAGGGTTAAGGACAATTCCACGATAACAGAGTGACATTTGTTTTACTTTTAAATGTATGTTAAACAAAAACCGAAGATTGCAAAGTTAAACAAACCATATAACTATGAACAGGAGTACATTGAACTATTTCCACTGAGCATTTTACAAAAAAACATTTCCTTGAACACTGCAAATGCAAAGTTGGGAAACTGGTACTGTTTGTGCCATCATTCTGTTACCAAACTTTGCATCCGCAGTGTTCTTCAAGTAAATGTGTTTTTGTACAATTTGCAGTGGAAATAGTTAAAAGTGCTCCTTTTGTTGTATGGTTTGTTTAACTTTGCAATCATTGGTTTTTGTTTGACATACATTTCAAAGTAAATCATCTGAGTCTCTGTGTCAGTCTGTTACTGTGAAATGTCCCTTTAGCCAATCAGTATTTTTAAAAGGGGCTGTAGTACTTTCTCGGAGGCGGTGGCTATCCTGGTCCCCTGCAGGTTGAGGGCGATGCAGCACAGCGCCCCCTCATGGGCGGGGATGTCCACTGGAGGCTTCTCTGTGTTGGCCAGGTCCACGATCTGCACGTGCCCAGAGTGGGTCCCCGGGAACGCCAGCAAAGAGTTGTTACTGTTGGGCACAGCACACACAGACCTGAGGAGGGGGGGGGGGGGGGGGGGGACAGAGAAGAGAGAGAGAGAGGAGAGAGAGTAGATTGTTATGACACATACAACCAGTACACTCTTGTGAGGTTGGGTGTGTAGAGTGTGAAGTATCAGAGGTAAGCGAGGGAGGATGAAGGAGGAGAGTATAGAGAGAGAGAGAAGAGAGCGAGAAGAGAGAAGAGAAAAGAGAGAGAGAAGAGAGAGAGGAGAGAGAGAGACGAGAGAGACGAGGAGGAGAGAGGAGAGCGAGAGAGAGGAGAAGAGAGAGAGAAATAGAGAGGAGACAGAGAGAGAGAGAGAGAGGAGGAGAGAGAGGAGAGGAGATGAGAGGGAGAGAGAGACAGAGGGGGGAGAGGAGAGGAGAGAGAGAGAGAGAGAGAGATGAGGAGACAGAGAGAGAGAGACAGAGAGAGACGTGAGGAGAAGCTACACATTACAACCATGTAACACTCTTGTAAAGGTTGTTTGTTTATTTCAATTATGAGCACGTCTAATATTGTATTTAGCAGGTTGGTTAGGAATCTGAGAGCTGCAGTAGACAGTAGATGGTCTGTCTGTATTGTAGTACTGACCTTTGGGGTTGAAGCAGGTCTCAAACACATGCAGCTGATGAGGGTTGTGGGTGAACGTGAACACTTTGATCATTGAGTCCAGGACCACGACGATCCTGAAGACATGAGAGAGATAACAGACATTAGGCTAAAGATTTTTCGTCCGCTAACATACAGCAATCCAATGGGGGAAACATTGGTAAGAAAACATTTCACTACTCCTGACACCGACATACTACCTTCTAATATTCCCTTTAAAAAGTGACCTAAAAGGTGAACATCTTAACAGTCATTGCTGTTCAGGCAATTCCAGAGTAGTCCTCTCTAAAAGCAACAAGGATCTATACTGTGTTACACCATTACTGCATCAGGACCTAGTAGTGTATAACTACCAACCAATTACTATGTAATAGACTGCCAATCTAACAGGTTCTGGGCCTAAGAAGAGGGAGTGCAATCACAGCCGGCTATTACTGTACTGGTATGAGCAGAAGGTAGTCTAGAGGTTAAGAGCGTTGGGCCTGTAACCCAAAGGTCGCTGGTTCGAATCCACGAGCCAACAAGCTGGGGAAAAAAATCTGTCGATGTGCCCTTGAGCAAGGCACTTAACCCTAATTACTCCTGTAAGTCACTCTGGATAAGAGCATCTGCTAAATGACTAAAACGTAAAAATGCAAAATACTGGTACCATCTCCCACCCTCTGTCCTGTAACTAAGGCTACATCTCATATGATACCCTACTCCCTATATATTGCCCTGCATTACTTCCAACTAGATCGAATGAAATTACATTTTATTTGTCACATGCTTCGCAAACAACAGGTGTAGACTAACAGTGAAATGCTTACATGTGGTAGCAATGCTTATGTGATCGCTGTGTGTCATTGATGCCATTGATGATGAAACGCAACGACTGCATTCCTAATTGGTCGTAAAAAGGGAGTTAAAGTGGTACTAAATTCGTACAAAAATTGTGAGTACATTTGAGTCAATGGGTGTTTCTCAAAATGCATACTCCCGTGCTCCAAGCACGCAAATTGGAGCACGGGAGGGTCGGAGTATGAGTCCAAATCAAAGTATGCGAAACGGAGCACGGAGGGCACTTCTTGAATGCGTACTCCATTTGTACATATTTTGAAGCATGTATCGATGCAAGTTTCAATGGAAAGTATGCAAAGAAACATGGTGCAACCACGTAAATATATAATATTAGTTTTAGGTATTTTTGCCTGTTAAACTATCTGGCTAGCTAGATTATTACAATTAACATATCTAGCTGATAATTATGAAGTAAAATGTTTTCTTTGTGTATGTCTTGTTTCGTCTCTATTGTTGCCATTGTCCTGGCTGGAAGAAGGTTCAGTGAATGGGAGGTGAATCGTGAGGTAATACAGGAGGGGGAGTGCGAGTCCTTCTCAAATGTAATGTTTTGTGCATTCTACACACTCTCGTCCTCACAAGAACGTACTCAAGAGAACGCTGTCGGAGAACGCACTCGGAGCATGAGAGTGTGGCGCACGGTAGTATGCATTTTGAGAAATACTGGCACTCAACACTGCTGATTGAAACAACACAAGAAAAAAAACATGTGGAAGGTGTTCGTACCTGTCCCTTCGAAGCTTCACTGCTTTGACCTCCGTGGAGAACTCGATTTCTATAACCGTCTTTTTCTTCAGGTCATCCCAGATCATTACTTGAGGAAAGTATCGGAGGACATGGTGGGATTAACAACAGTCAAGACTAACATGACATGAGGTTTGTCTGTAGTGTCAGACCAATGTAAGGAAATAACTGGAATACGGTCAATCTGATGGAAAAGTCTACCTTTAAGAGATCATTGAAACATTTCAAACAGATAAAAGTGTTATTTTGAGGGTTCCAAAATATATTTATTATGCTCATAGTTCATAGATACAGGCAAGTTCAACACAAGCATCTCACACACAGTAACCATACCTTTGTTAGGTGGGTATTTGGGCTTTTTCCCTCCTCCGACCAGCGCTAGGTAGTTACACCTGAACAGCATCTCCACATGCCCGACCCCGCCCTCCATGAACTCTGGAAGACACACACAACCACATTATTGCCAATTAAAGCTGTCAATCTGAGTAAACCGACCCAATGAGAATCAAGGATGTTGCCTCAAACACCACCACAATTGTCAAAAACATTATTCCGAAAAGATCTCTAAATGTTACTAGAAAGATCCATCCCTGATAATGAGGATTTAAATAGTTTTAATATCTCAAGGTTTTACTTGTTTTCATGTAAGTAGCAGACAGCCAATAGCAGACAACTCCTCAGTCCATCTGCATATTAAAACAAGCCTTTCCAGCATGCATGATGCATCGCTGTAAAAAAAAAACAATATCCTAGCACCTGCACACATAGGTAAAGGCTGTACAATTACACAGAAAAGTGTTTGTTTTAAATAATGCTGGGCAGGAACAAAAGCCTGCACACCCTGCAGCAACCCAACAGGACCAGGTTATCCCTGGCCTATAGGCTAATCATTTTCCTACAGTACTAAAGACAGTACAGTAAGCTGTCATTTTCCTATAGTGACTTTGGACCAGGTTGCGTGCGGAGTGAGGAGTCACATGTGCAGGGCTCAGTGGCGGAATTATTAACTTTCTCATCTAGCCCTCCTCATCCAAACCAGAGTACCAATCCAGCCACAGACAGATCCATCTCGTGTCACACACAGCAGGAGCAGGAAGGAAGTACCTTGGCTCTCGCCGTCACAATGCTGTGTCCCTGTGTGTAGCAAAATGGCCTTGATTTACTGGGAGCACTGCTACCGACCCATTGGGTTTATTTATGTATCAATAAAATAGTTAGCCCAGAACTTTCGATTAATAGTAAACTGTGGAAAAAGCACATTATGAACATGTATGACCTCACTAACTGTAAGTCGCTCTGGATAAGAGCGTCTGCTAAATGACTAAAATGAATAATATTTTTTTTTTTTAAGTGGGTAAGAGCGTTGTGCCAGTAACCGAAAGGTCGCTGGTTGTAATCCCCGGGCCGACTAGGTGAAAAATCTGTCGATGTGCCCTTAAGCAAGGCACTTAACCCTAAATGCTCCTGTAAGTCGCTCTGGATAAGAGCGTCTGCAAAATGTAAATGTAATAATGTAATAAAGGATATTTTTATTTTTATAGACGCTTTTTAATTAATAATAATTTATGTTTCATATTTGCTGTACAGTCATTATTTTCACATATACCTACCTTGTTTTTCTTTCTCTTTGAGTGGGTCTGCATTGTACACTCTAAACCCATTCTCCATTCCACAAGCAAAGCATCCTGGAAGGAGAACAGAAAATACCAGTGGTTAGAACAACCCTGATCGAAGCTAGGTCCAAGTCAATTCACTGTGTATGAACAACCCAAGATAATCACTGCTTTTGTGCCACAATGTGTATCTGTCTTCGAAGACATCGTGATTATATGGGAGGTCAACTAAGGACAGACTATGCTTCCATTCAGCCTCCTATCTGTTCCTGTTCTTTCGCTCTATCCTACCAGATTTGGAGTTTGTCCTACTGCTCCAGTAACCTGATGCTCAGCTGGTAGAGCACGGCGCTTGTAACGCCAAGGTAGTGGGTTCGATCCCCGGGACCACCCATACACAAAAATGTATGCACGCATGACTGTAAGTCGCTTTGGATAAAAGCGTCTGCTAAATGGCATATTATTATTATATTATGCTGCCTGTGAGGAATGCACACACAGTGGGCATTGAACAGAGTATTAACTACCAGTCATTTCTTTGTTTGGAAGGAGACCCATTCATTCACTGCTCAGTGAAGAAAAGCTGACTAGGGCCACCTAGATCCACCCACCCTCACAGCTTGAGCTACCTAGCCATATTTTGATGTAAACTCTTTAGTTTAGCAGTTGTCAAACTAACGTTATAACCACAGATAAAATGGGAAAGTTCTACCATCTTTGCTATAATGTTACCTATGCAGCTAAGTTAGCTAGCTTGTTAACGACAGAGAGTCGCTAAAGATTAGGACATTTGACAACCCTGCAAGTATATACGGTAAAGTGATTAGTAACGTTATGTTGGCTATTTACAACATACATGTAAAGAAAGTTTAGAATATGTTTATTTGACGTTGGCCACAACATAGTGCAAACGTTATCTTGTCAACAACAGTGGAACCCCCACATATATCTTTCCTGGCGTTACGTTGTTAGTGATGGTTCCGTATTATTAAAATATAAATGTGAGAGAGCCTAACAGATCCATGACATTTAGCTCGCTCTGGTCATGATGTTACATGTAAATTATGTTACATGTAATATTATTTAGTTTGCTCAAATGACAATCAAATCACTATTTCACAACAACTGAATATGGCTAGAGAACAACTAGCGAGCTAGCCAGCGTAGGCTGAGTGTAACGTTTAAAGTTAACGCCCGGCCTCACGTCGGTAGCGTGGCATCGACGACAGAATTGTCAAAAGACGATTTCGATGAAGAAACCATTTCTCACCATGATCCTGGTTGAATCCAGCATACAAGAGTCCGTTCCCATGTGCATTTGATGGTAGTAAATTCATTACTTCTATCAGATAATCACAGTCAACCGAATTTTAACAGAATGCTAGCTAGCGTTCCTCCTGTGCCACAGACAGCCAGCCAGGAAAAACAACAGAGCCAAAGAGATAAAGCTCTTGGTTCCAGGACGCTCAAACGAGTACCGATCGATCGATCGATTGGGAGTGGGAGTTTCAGTACTAGACCAAAGACTGAAACAACTTTTTTTTTAAACCTTTATTTAAACAGGGAAGACATATTGAGACCTGGGTATCTTTTTCAAGTGCGCCCTGTATGATACAACATAAATATACACATTAAACGCAACATGTAAAGTGTTGGTCCCATGTTTCATGAGCTGAAATAAAAGATCCCAGAAATTTTCCTTTTGCACAAAAAGCTTATTTCTCCCAAATGTTCTGCTCAAATGTGTTTACATTCCTGTTAGTGAGCATTTCTCCTTTGACAGGATAATCCATCCACCTGAAAGGTGTGGCATATCAAGAAGCTGATTAAACAGCATGATCATTACACAGGTGCACCTTGTGCTGGGGACAATAAAAGGCTGCTCTAAAATGTGCAGTTTTGTCACACAACACAATGCCACAGATGTCTCAAGTTTTGAGGGAGCGTGCAATTGGCATGCTGACTGCATGAATGTCCACCAGAGCTGTTGCCAGAGAATTGAATGTTCATTTCTCTGCCGTAAGCCGTATCCAATGTCGTTTTAGAGAATTTTGCAGTACATCCAACCGGCCTCACAACCGCAGAGCACATGTAACCACTCCAGCTCAGGACCTAAGGACAGATCGAAATTTACTGGGGGGGGGGGGGGGGGGGGGGGGGGGGGGGGGGGGGGGGGGGGGGGGGGGGGGGGGGGTTACTTGGTACTGTTTTGGTACTTATGCACTCTGCTCTGTTTTAATCTGATTAGGCTACTTCAAAAGTCTCCTGTAGTCATGCGCTCGTTCGTCCAAAATATAGTTCCAGCATCCTCAAAATGGCTTGACATTAACCAGGTTTCCATCCAACATTTTTTATCAGAATAAAGTACGTTGGCTAAAAAATGTCAAGACATCATGGGAAAGCTTGATGCTCCTTTCAATAATTATTGAGGGTCTTATTCTGGTGACATCAAATCCAATTTTATTTGTCACATACACGTGTTTAGCAGATGTTATTGCGGGTGTAGCGAAATGCTTGTTAAGAGCTAGTCGCGAGGCCGCCATCTGCTTGGCTGCCGTTTTGACAAAGAAAAATTATTTTGCACGTTTGTCCATAATAATCTCATCATGTAGTAGGCTATGAGCACACTGTATCTATGAGCTGTTGGCTAGAACACAGGTGCCAATACCATAGTGCACACATTTTTTGTGACTAAACCATCAGAAGGCCTAGAGTTGAAAATGGATGGAAACAAATTTAATTTGTATTTTTTTATCCGGTACATGGGAATTTATCCCCCAAAGTTATTTTTTTGTGCATTACCTATTTACGCACAGACTTATATCCGCAACAAGTCAATTTGATGGAAACACATCTCTGATGGGAAAATGTGCATATGTTTTTTATGCAGATTTTAGAATATTCAAGTGGAGGCTGGTGGGAGGAGCTATAGGAGGACGGGCTCATTGTAATGGCTGGAATAGAATACATGGAACGGTATCAAACACATAAAACATATGGAAACCACATGTTTGACTCTGTTCCAATTGTGCCATTCCCTCCTGTAGCTCAGTTGGTAGAGCATGGCGCTTGCAACGCCAGGGTTGTGGGTTCGTTTCCCACGGGGGGCCAGTATGAAAAATGTATGCACTCACTAACTGTAAGTTGCTCTGGATAAGAGCGTCTGCTAAATGACCCAACACATTTTTTTTCCAGCTATTACAATGAGCCCGTCCTCCTATAGCTACTCCCACCAGGCTCCAACAGAATATTCACATACAAGTCTGTCACCAATTGGGTGGAAACCTGGCTATAGACACCCTAAAGACTCAAGTGCGCCAGTCCAGTGTCACTTTGATTATGCCTGTACTTCAAGGTTCACCAGCAGCCCCATACATCTAAAGACTAAGTTACAGACCAGCCAAAACAAGCTGGTAAGAATTGTACTTAAACTCTCGCCTCATACTCATCTGGAGGTCAAGCATTTTTCTCTGTAATGTGTCCGTATCTTGGTAATTTTATATTTATTTATGTAAAGAAATAGGGACCACAATGGAAATAATTCCCCGAACTTTATTTTGCAATCCTGGTCACTTTAAAAAATCTTGTATACAGTATGTATTTTTTAAACTGACAAATAAAATCAATCAATCCAAACTGTGCAGCGGCCATTTGATGAATGGAAAGAGACATCTGTTACAAATCAACAAAAAGTTTAATGACATTCAGAGATCGTCAAGCCAACTATCAATACTGGGTAGGCCCACAAGGTAGGAAGGGATGCATTTTCTGTTTGTTGAAATTAACATAGTCTATTTATTGAGATGTTGAAAACCATGATAAACCATGTTTATTGGTTGTGTGGTGCATTGGCACAGAAACCTGTTGGTGGGAAATTTGTTGCATATATATATTATATAATTATAAACATGGCATCAAAATGTTGAAAATCTGATTTTACCCTAGCCAGTAGCCCTGCATGACATTGACTGTGCCACAAAAGCATGCTGAAGTGGCAAAGTTGATACCCACGTTTATAAACACAGGGTTGCTACAGTTATTGTTATTTGTGGTCGTAAACATTATTTTGAGTTAATTATATGAGGGGGGAGTATGTGTGAAATTTATTTCACAGTACAAGGGGATGGTCATGTAAAAAAATAAAATGTAAAAAAAGGACATTGGGAGGGGGGTGCATTTTTCTTAATGACACCTTGGAGTTGGACCAGCCTCCCCCATAAAATTTCGAATTTCCCCTTAGCAGATGAACATTGAACACCGTCCGGTCCTATTGAACTGCACCCCCCAGTAGCAGAGGTTGAACTGCACCCCCCAGTAGCAGAGGTTGAACTGCACCCCCCAGTAGCAGAGGTGTGAAGTTTCACCACTGCACTTTCACCTTCTCAACCAAAAGATGAAAACAAATTCTTAATTTTGTACAATTACAAACTTATCAATGTGACATTTGATAAAGTACGACTGGGGTTTATATATAAATGCCTGGATCATTTCAATTTGGGAGAATCTCTTATAAAATGGGTCAAAATCATGTATAGTAACCCTAGGTGTAAAATAGTAAATAACGGCTATTTCTCAGAAAGTTTTAAACTGTCAAGAGGAGTGAAACAAGGTTGTCCACTATCAGCATATCTATTTATTATGGCCATCGAGATGTTAGCTATTAAAATCAGATCCAACAATAATATCAAGGGATTAGAAATCCAGGCCTTAAAAACAAAGGTGTCATTGTACGCTGATGATTCATGTTTTCTTTTAAATCCACAACTAGAATCCCGCCTCATAGAGGATCTAGATACATTTTCTAACCGCTCTGGATTACAACCAAATGATGATAAATGTGCTATATTACGCATTGGATCACTAAAAAATACAATCTTTATATTACCATGTAATTTACCAATAAAATGGTCTGATGGTGATGTGGATATACTCGGAATACATATCCCAAAGGAAATAAATGATCTCACTCCAATACATTTTAATAGAAAGTTAGCAAAAATAGATAAGATCTTGCTACCACGGAAAGGTAAATACCTGTCAATTTGTGGAAAAATCACCCTGATTAACTCTTTAGTATTATCCCAGTTTACCTATTTGCTTATGGTCTTGCCTACGCCTAGCGAACAGTTTTTTAAATTATATGAGAAAAAAAATATTCCATTTTATTTGGAACGGCAAGCCAGACAAAATTAAACGGGCCTATTTATATAATGAATATGAATTCGGAGGACAGAAATGATTAAATATTAAAGCATTAGACCTATCACTAAAAGCTTCAGTCATACAAAAGTTATACTTAAATCCGAACTGGTTCTCTAGCAAATTAGTAAGATTGTCTCACCCAATGTTCAAGAATGGCCTTTTCCCCTTTATTCAGATTACAACCTCTCACTTTCAGTTATTTGAAAAGGAAATAATCTCCCAAATATCACTATTTCTAAAACAAGCCATAGAAAGTTGGTTGCAATTTCAATTGAATCCTCCAGAAACGACAGAACAAATAATGCAACAAATATTGTGGTTAAACTCAAATATACTAATTAACAAAAGAAAACTATTTTCTTTGACAAAATGTTTAAAAAAGGTAGAATCTTCGTAAATGATATCATCGGTAGGACTGGTGGAGTTATGTCGCACATGCAGCTAACAAAAACATATGGAAATGTCTGCTCTACCCAAAATTACAACCAAATAATTGCAGCCTTACCGCAAAAATGGAAGAGGAAAGTGGAAGGGGGAGAAAGTAAGGAACTTGTCTGTCGGCCTTGCATTAAAGAACATAATTGGTTAAAGAAAACTGTGATGAATAAAAAAGTATATCAGTTTCATTTAACGACCAAAGGATTGACAGCCGTCCCATATAGATTGCAAAATAGTTGGGAAGAGATTTTTGGCGTACCGATCCCATGACATAGTGTTTATGAACTGATACGCAAAACGACACCGGATTCAAAACTTAGAATCTTTCAATTTAAATTATTATATACAATTCTTGCTACCAATAGAATGTTATTTATATGGGGGATACAATCTTCCCAGCTCTGCAGATTTTGCTGCGAAGAGACAGAATCATTAGATAATTTGTTTTGGTACTGTCCATTTGTAGCTTGTTTTTGGACACAGGTCCAGGAATGGCTAAAGGATTGCAATATTTACCTGGAGCTAACCTTGCAGATAGCATTACTGGGTGATCTGAAAAGTCATAGTCAATTGATCAATAATATAATAATACTTTTAGCAAAAAAAAATATTTTCAATTTACCATCTGTAGAAACAATGAGAATAGAAAGGTTCAGAACTTTTGTAAAACATCACAGTACAGTTGAAAAATATATGG